AAGCAGTGCCAGAAGAAGTGCATTTATAAAGTGCATAATGGATAAGCTTCCAACCTTAGAAGAATTGAACAAAAGAAGACCAGAGATATATATAACAATGGAGTGCCAAATGTGCCAAGATAAAACAAAAGAAACACAGGCATATTTGGCAGCATGTAAGGGACAAAAAAATCTGTGGAAAAGAATTCAAAAAGTGACTATCACAACAGCCTGGAAGGGCCTAAAGGAAAAAGAAAAAGTTCGAGTTTCTCTATATGTACTATATACAGCACTCTTTGGGAAGACAGAAACAGAAGAAATCAAAATAAGAGAGGCACTAATTAAAGGTCTTATTCCAAAAGAAACGCAAGACAGATTAAGGCAGCTCCTAAGTACAAAATCAAGACAGCAGTTTATGGAAATAGTAGCAAGAATGGCCTGGAACTAGGGTTCCAACCCAGATAGAAAATCCAAATCCGTGACCCATTAGGTCAACTATTTTTACTAACTGGTTATCTGAAATTAAAACAGGTTATCCGATTAAACCAGATAACCTGGTTATATAATTAGACTGGGTAACCTGAATACCCAATTATGAATATTCTATTATTCAATTACTTAGAATTACCAAACACAATCTCTAATATAATTGAAGGTTTAAAGTTAAATTATATATAATTATTATTATAAATTTCCAGTACAAAAACTTTGCTTTTTATGTAATTTTAAATTTGGTATTTGCATTACATATAAATAAAATATTTATTACCCAAGTTTATAAAGTAATGATTTCAGTGATCTTGTTTTTTATAAATAAAAAAAATTTTACAAAATAATTTATCAAAATATTGCCGAAGTAACTCTTACAGCCTCATATCATTATGACAGAATTAGCAACTGGAAAGAGAGCGTTTGACAGTGAGTCTTTTGATATTAGACTTTTGGTGAGTTTTGACAAATCTATCAAACAATTCTTGAACAAGAATTCAAAAAAGTTCATACAATTTACCTAATATATAACTGAATAAAATTATAAATACAATAAGAGGTAAATATATATTCAGTTTAAGCGAATCATAACCATATAGAAGTGATACTATTAATAATAACAAATAATGATTAATACAGTATTAGTAACTATTAATGTAGTCAAATAGAGTAATATAGTAAATAGATGCATATAGAATGACAAGTGCTACAAAGGAAAAGCCTAGAATTTATAAAATTTTTATATTTTTTCTTTGCAGCATTCATGTCTTAGTTGCACTTAACAAACATATCAATGAAACAATGTCTGATTGCAAAATACAAATATATACAGAATTTGTTAATTTGTTAGTATTAAAATTATTAAATAACCAAACTAAGTTTCGCTAACTAATGATTTACATACTTGTATTCGTTTAGATGTGAAATAGATTAGACAATGAAATCCAAGTTAAACATATGGAAGCATATATAAGTAAATTTGTACGAATATAAATTAAAGTATATTAGATATAAATATAAAATAAATCAAGTACATATGTAAAAATTTGGTCTAAAAGTCTACCAATTTATTTTTTATTTTTTTTGATTTTAAACTTAAGATAACCTAGGATGCTGGTGGCATACTTTACTACTAATTTATTTGATCAAAAGTTTTGCTTATTTTTTTTTTTCTGGCATTATATCATCGGGATCATCACGTGATGCTATGTTTTGTACATTTTATCTATCTATTTCTTATTTTTAAAGTTTCTTATAAACTAGCACTTTCTTAATATAATAAAGATTAAGATGCTCACAGAATACAATTTTCATCTCAATTATTAATATGGGTGATTTATTATTTTACTCTCTATTATATAGTATGGTATTTTTTTGATGGTTCTCTAGATATTCACTGCTGTTAACAGATTCTTTTGCAATTACTATTAAACCCATATTATTCAAAAATAAGACAGAGATAGTTAATTTGTTTAATCTATAACTAATCTCTTGATATTTCATCGATTACAAAAAGTAACACCTATTAATCAAACCATTTATTAATTTTTAAAAAGAAAGTTACTAAACTTACATAAATATATTTCTTATATATATTTTATAATTCATCCAGGCTAAAAATTGAAAAGTGCTCCATATTACGCTTGAGGAGCAACATTTGTTCGACCATATCAGGCTGAAGCCTATTATGTAATGCTGTTATATGTTGCCCTGCATCGGAAAACAAACATTCAGAAGGAACCGATATAGCTGGTATTAATAAATATTTCTGGGCCAGGTTTGATAAGGTGAAGAATTTTTTTGCATTATCTCACCACCATTTCAATGGATAAAATTTTCTATTTTGAACCAGCTCATTAAGATAGCGATCAACCTCAGTCTTTTTATAAGCACTATTTGATTTTTTATTATCATATAAGTCTGAAATTAAATCATTAACCATTGTAGAATTAGAAATTGATATGCTAGATGATTTCGCAAATCCATAAATTTTTAAAATTTCCTTAACCAAAGGTCGGCGGTGCTCTTCCTCAATACAAAGCCTTCGTACCATGCTAATTGTGATTAGCTTTATATTTTCATCGTCAATAAATTTTAAATTTTTTATTCTTGGGTCTAAAAATAATGCAATAAGTCCAGTTTCTTTTAAAACATCCCAATACTCTTGGAGAGAAAGATAACATACTGCCTTGACCAAGTCACTTAACTTTTCAGTAACAACAAGTGGCTCTATTGAATAATGACCTTTAAACCATGGATCATTATATTGTTTCTTTTGAACTTTTTTATAATTTTTTTTTTTTTGTCTTCGTGATGCATGTAATGGTTGTCGAAGCTTTTCTGAAATCACTAGCATTTTATTATAATTTGCATCAGATTCATCGGAATTTTTATTATCAGTAATTAACTGACTTTGGTCATTTATTTGTTCTCTGAATCTGAATAATAAATTGGCATAATCATCATCAGTTTGCCCATCTGAGGGTGCAAACTTCTTAATAAGTAGCATCATTATATGATAGATAAGATTTAGTATAGGATAGATTGAACCAGAAAATATAGTAGTAGCTTCGTAGAATGGTTTTAGTAAGTAGATAAGTTCATCTAACAATTGCCATTCGCTATTAGTTAAGGTTACTAGTTTCAAGTATTCACTATCAAGTCAGTCACATCGTTCTAGTTCAGATGATAACATAATAACAAGATAATCTATTGTTTTTCGTAATTCTTTAAGTCGAATCCAAGCTAAATATGAGGAATTCCACCTTGTTGATACATCATCAGTTATTTGGTAAATTGTTGGATATCGGCACTTTTTTTGTGTATCTTTAAGACGTTCAATTTGTTTATGGCTTTGAAAAAAAAAGATCAGATTTTTTGCTCTTTTAATTAGCCACACCACAGGCTTAAGACCTTTTAATACACTTAATTGAAGCATGTAGGCTGAACAAGCTAACCAGACAACACAATCTATTGAATTAACTGCCTTTTTAATGTTGGCACCATTGTCTGTCATGATGCAAAAAATTTTTCCATCTAAATCCCATTCAGTAATAATTTGATTAAGTGAATTTTTAATATTTTCAGCAGTATGTGGTGAAGGATATAGTTGAATTGTTAATAAGGCCTCATGTAATACAAAGTTTGAATCAATCCAAGTTGCTGTTACTCCAATATACCCTTCATTGGCTCTTGAACTCCATAAGTTTGTCATTAAATTGATGAATCTATCATTTATATTTACTATACTAAACAATTGGTCACGACTCCAATCATAAGCTTGATTAATTTTTTTTTTGCACTTCTTTTGCAGAGAATCTGAAATCCAGGTTCCATATCATTTAAAAAACGATGAAAGGATTGGCAACGTAAAATATTTAAAGGTTGGCAGTCCTCAATAATAAATTCAACCAAATCTCTTGTTAGTTTTTCTTTATAACATTTAGTAATAACATGCATTGCCTTGATGATTAGACTACCAGTATTTGTTCCATCAGGATGTTCTTTATCTATTCGATGCTTGGACCAAAGATGGCCAAACATATTTCCCGTTGATGAGTCATGCGCATACTTGACTGTTATATTTTTTTCTTTACAAAGTTGACATATGTCAAAAAACCCTTCTTCTAGTTTTTTCGTTTTAAAATATTCTCATACGATATTTTGATTGCTTCTTTTCTGTTTATTAGTTTTTTTTTTTTTGAGAAGCTCTTTATTTTGAGATGGTTCCTCATCTCTAGAAGATTCATTATCTATGTGCAGCAGTTCCTTATCTCTAGAAGATTCATTATCTATATGCAGCAGTTCTTCATCTCTAAGAGATTTGTTATCTATATGCGGTTCTCCACCTCTAGATAATACTTCAAAATCTAAAGAATGCGTATCATACGCATCATCATTATCATCAAACATGTAATCTGACATAAGGTATACCAGATTTATTCACTATTGGTTCTTTCTATTAACATAAATTAAGATATTTTACTTTAATATTATATTTATAATCACTTTGCTAAAATTATTATTTTAGTTTTAAAATTATTGTACAGTACCTGTAACTATAATTTTCTATTATTACATGTTCTTTGAGCTTCGTTTTTGCAATGATGATAGTATACAATAATTAGAAGGTAATAGTTAGCGAACAATAATTTTGTGGGTGACTAGCAAGCAGCTACTTGTAGGTGACTGGGCAACTACTTGTGGTTGTGATTTGTGGGCGACTGGTAAGCAGTATGTTTGGAAATGTGGGTGACTGGTAAGCAGCATGTTTGTGACTTGTGGGTGACTGGTAAGCAGTATATGTTTGTAACTTGTGGGCAACTGATAGGCAATGGCTAGTGTAGAACAGTTGGCAGATAAATGGCTAGTATAACAGCTAGCAAACAATAACCAGAACAAGGTTTTATAATAGTGTTTAAAGTGTGCTTCTTAATGAACAGTCATATGTACGCGTACAAGCTTTTTTTTAAAAAAAAAAAGGTTCTATTTAATGATTTGATGATTGATAGCTACTAATCAGGTATGTCAGCTTAAGCTTTATAATTACTTATGCATTATACATTATCCTTGTGCGTTATCTATATTAATATGCATAGAATCTAACAAACATTATTATTAACTGGATATCTGGGTCAACCGTTTATCAACTGGATAATCCGCATATTGTATAAAAACTGGTTATCTTAAAATATGATCTGGTTGGCAAATTTTTGGGTTGGGTAATCAGTTACACGGTTATTTAGATAAGAGGTCAGAACCCTATCTGGGACACATTTTACGAACAAGTATGGAGAATCTGATGTGAGAAAGTCAACGAGTGAGAAAAAAATAAAGGAATAACAGGTAGAATAAAAAGAAGAAAAGGAAAAGAAAGGAAAGCACCAAGTAAAAAGAGAAAAACAAATCAGTAACTAATTGAAGAAAGAAAAGAGAAAGCAAAAGAAAAAGAAAACCAAATCGGAAAAGAAATACAGAAAACAATTTTAGAGCTTGTCATGGAAGGGAGAAGACCCTTTTATTATGGACTTTAAGTAGTCAGACGAGCAGCTTACTTTTGCTTGAAGTAATGCAGCAGGTTGCACTTAGGTACCGTTAGGGTGGTCAGGTGATGCTAGGCTTAGTTGTTAAGGATATTTATGTAATTGCAAATGTAGTTTCAAAATCTTAATAAAGCACTAGCATGACTGCTTAAGTTTAAAAAAAAAAATTTTGCTTATGAAACCACTTTTCATGTTCTAATAAAAAAAATTCTTTGCAAAATTTTGATATTAAAATTAGTTTTATTATTACTTAATCCTGACCTATCTTAAACTAGACCTTACCCTAAATTAATGTACTAATTGGTTTGTTTTGTTTTCATATTACACCTGATCTTATGAATGTGTTACAACACATATGTGCAAAATGATAAAAATCTTTATTTATTTTATTAAGTTATTATATTTCTAAAAACATTTTTTAATATTTATATATAAATAAAATTATTATAAATAAAAAATAATTATAATTCTATTATTTACAATAAAATAATTATTATAAAACATAATTATTTTTTTTTTTGATATTAAAGTGACCTCTTTGGTCTTTTGACTTTTATTAATCACTTATCAGTATTGTAGTTCAATGAACCACTACAGGAGAGCATACAATTGGCTACATATGTAACTTTTCTATATTACCTATTTAAGAAGTCCGCCTGAAGGTTCCCTACCAATTGCTGTATCTAACACCTCTGCTTGGGTGTTCTACTTTAAACTCTCTGAATCTGTAACTTGTGTTAACATCACTGGTCATCTCTGATGTACCAGATTATCATTCTCAACCTTAGAACTAATTTATCCTCGAGGTAAACCCCCCAGAGCCTTCTGTACCCATTTTTACAGCTAACCTAGGTATTACTATGGAAGAACCAACACTTGCGATCAGGGCTAACCATTAAACCGCTATGCTCTTGTAGAGTTCACTTAGACCCTAGCATCTACTTTACAGCATAACTCTGATACTTTAGTATACCCTTGCCTTTTGTCTAGCCTTTTTACCAAACTCCCAATCCAGATAGCCTGTGTAGGACTACAACTAGTCCATCAGTATATTGGGTCAGCCTGATATCCTTTTCCTCTGTTTCGTTCTGGCAGCCTAGTTGGTGGTACCTCTGAGCCTCCCAACCCAGAAGTTCTAGTCTGTCTGGCTACTACAACTAGGTATTACAACCTTGCTATTCATTTCCCTAGGCTAGCCTTTACAGTAGGGCCATTAAAGATCCAGCTACCTCTCTACTTAGGTCTTCCCAAATGGATTTTTTGTTACCCAATTTCAATGGATTTACATAGCCACAAAGACTTATCTAGTGTTTGCACCATCTGATTTGTTGGTTTGCATTTTTCTGTATAATGCCATACTTATACAGATGCCCCATAACCTGCCAGTTATGCTGGTGTGACTGCCATTACAGGTATCCTAATCTAATCATTAGTAACAGTTGTCGTAATATGAATATTACATAGGTAATTATTCAAATTTTTACTGTCAATAGGATTTGAACACCCAACTTACCACTTGAGAGGTTGACAACCTGACCACTTCACTAGGTCATCACACCCCTTATTTTTTATAATTTTTTATTTATAAAATTATATAATTAATATTAGTTTTAATATATAATTTATTAATTAATAAATTTAATTAATTTAAATTATAGTAACTTAGTAAAGTAGATAAGTTATTAATCTTTTAAGTAGTATATTGTAAGTTCAAAATCTACTAACAATAAAAAATTTAGATAATTTTTTATATAATATATAAAATATTATAGCAATTGCATTCTGTTAATCAGTTAGAATAAGATACTTGTAACTATAATTGCACTAGCATAACTGGTAAGTTATAAAGTATTTGTATAACTTTAATTATACAAAGTGATGCAAACTAGTACTAAGTAGTACAAACTCAAAATAAGTTCTTATAGTTATATAAATTTATAAAATTAAAAAAAATTTAAGTCTATTTAAAAAGACCTAACTAGAGAGATAACATAGATCATTAACAGTACTATTATAAAAACTAGACTAAAAAAACAAATACTAATATAGAAAAACAGATAAACAAAAACCTTTAGATAAGAAGTACTACTAATTAGACTGCTAAGTTGTACTAAAAAAAAGAATATTAAGTCAGACTTAATATATTAAAGACAAGTCACAGTTTTTTTGAACTATTTAAATTAAAAATCTAAGAACAAAGCAAAGGTATACTAAAATACTATGTTGTAAAGTAGAACTAAGATATAGATACTAATCCAAATTTTTTAATATAAAATACTAATATAAGAAAGATAGTTAGATAAAATGTTAAAAAACAAATATTTGAATATTATATAAAATAAATAATAGTAATTAATAAAATTAATAAACTATTAGTTTAAATCATAGAATAATAATATAATCTATACTAAAATTTAAAATTTAAACTAAAATAAAAATGATATAAGATAATTAATATAATCATTAATAAATGTTAAATAATACTAACAGATAACTTAATGATTATATAAATTATAAAAAAATATTAAAATAGGTGTGAGTCTCATAGCTTAATTGTTAAGCTCCCATACTTCTATAGTCAAGGTCAATAGTTCAAGTTTGGCTAAAGGCAAAATCGAAAGATTTTAGCTTCTGTAATCCATAAAGAGCCTATAATTGAACATAAAGCCCTGTAATCAAGTCCAAGTACAGTATATGATAAAAAAAAGAATTTTCAGAATGAAACCAACTCTGCAGAGTGTAGACACTATGTGTAACAGCAGCATTACAGAGGTTCTATTCACAAAAGTATTACATATGTAAGTTCTCTGAAGACAGAGCAGTACCAACATCTTCGTATTCAACTTGTGAAGTACTTGATTGAGAGAATGATACCAAGGTAATATGAACTGGAGTAGTAAGTGAAGCAGTGCATGCATAGAAGGTTTGAAACAAAGAATTAGCCTTATTAAGATTAGAAATATCTCTGGCATTATAAAACATCTAAGAATAAAAGATAGCTATCTGTATAGAGAAGTTGTAGTCTGTCATGTATATCTAAAGATTCCAAACTGAAGCTCTGACCATACCTATATAGAAGTCTATAGTAAAACAAGTAGAATATACCAATATAAATACTATATCAATCATAGTTGAGATACCTAAATTAAAAGTTGAAACCTCTAGAACTTTGTATTAGTAGTAGAAATGCCAGTCTATAACTGGAAGAGAATATATATTCATTCCCAAAATAGAGTTCTATCTATACTATAAAAGAAAGTACTTAAGAGGCAGGTTAGATGTATAATCTATTAGACATAATGCTAAGACCAAGAAGGATTGCAAACCAGCAGTGGCAGCAGGAACCTGGCTTGAAATATGTGCTACTAGTACCTGAATTGGGAAGTTAGCAGTGGCAACAGGAATCTGGCTTGAGATACGTGCTAGAGAGGCACCCTTTAGGCAAACCAAAAATAGTAGCTCAAAAGGAGCAAATGATCCAATGGACCAATTTGAAAGTTGTTAAAATAGGTTGTGAGACATAGAAAAAATATACAGATTATCTAATATAATTAGTAGTGAAACAAAAATCTAGGTTAGGTATAAGTAGAACACAATACAGAACTTTGGTAGATTTAGGTCACAGATAAATATGTCTAAGTCCTATGTCTAAATAAATATATAGTAATAGATAATATATAAATAGATTTGTACTAACTATGATGAATATACTAATAAAGACTAGAGAGCATAACCTCATCTTAATACCAAAAAAAAAAAGATATTAAAATGAATAATACAATTATATATATATAAATATAACTTAACCAATATAAATCATATTTAAAAAGATGATAACTAATAAATATTAATATAAAAAATTACAAATAATATAATAGAGAT